CTCAGCCAGGGTCTATCAAACTCAGCAGAGCTTCGCTTTGCTCTTGTAGGTGGGTCTTGCTGAAGAGAGGCACTTGGGACGGTGGCAAGCTGGTGCTCTGGGATGTCCTGGGGCAGTAGCGTTGGGCACCATCTCAGCCTGGCATCCGTAATGCTGCAGCTGGGTTACTTAGACGTGGCTCTGCTGATGGTTTTTTCCCTTCTAGCATGGGATTGGTAGCTGGGGGGGTTCTCCGCTGTCTTGTATAACAGCTGAGAACACTGAGCTCCCAGACCAAGCTGGAGATCCAGGTGGAGGTTCCCACTGTCCCTGTTGCAGGAGCCTGCAGTGCGAGTGTCACCCGGCTGGCAGCGCGGGGGGCTGCCTCTCCGGCCGCTGTGTCTGCAAAGCGAGTGCTACCGGGGAGCGGTGCGACAGGTGGGTGTCAGGAGGACTTCCCAGACCGCTGCGTGGCACATCCTCCATCTCCCCGGCAGAGTCCGCGTGCCCATCTCGCCATCCCAGACCAGCGATGGCTGTGTTGAGCGGCTGTCATTAGCGGGCTGGTTGTATCGACCGGGAGAAGGACAACTTCAACGTTGTCACCTTGCCTTTTGCCAGGTGCAAGCGCAACTTCTATAACTTGGATGCCAGAAACCCCGCGGGATGCTCCCCCTGCTTTTGCTACGGGCACTCGGCCACGTGTGTCAGCGCAGACAACCACAGCGTCTACAACATCACCTCCACCTTCCAGCAAGGTGAAGGCCGAGAAGGACGTCCCTGGGGCTCCTGGGAGTTTGCCATCCCCTCTCTTTGATGTACTGGAGGAGCCGCCTCGTTGGGAGGCCCTGGGCTTTGATGGGTGGGATGGCTTGATTGTAGGCAAGTAGGGTGCAAGGGTGGGTGGGAGCGTAGGCTTGTCTCATCATGTCTTTCCTGCCACTTGGGAGGAAAGCCCCATGCCCAGCCTGGCTTATTTTTGGATATATCAGCACAGGGATATCTGTGCTGCCATCTCAGAGGTCACGGGGTAGGAAGCCAGAGATTTTGGTAAGACACAGCTCCAGAAAGATGCTGGAGTCCTGAGAACACCTTTCCTGTTCCCGCTGACTGCTCCTCGTTGCCGCTGCAGGTGCCGAAGGCTGGCGAGGCATCCACGAAAGTGGCTCCCCAGCCCAGCTCCAGTGGTCCCCACGCCATTGGGATGCCTTCATAGCGGCGAGGACATCGGAGCCGATTTACTTCGTGGCACCCGGTAGGTGGGGGGAGAGGTGACAGTGTCCCCTTTGCTTGGTCTGATCCCGTGAACTGGACCTTTAGGAGGAAGGCAAGATTTTAAACCTTTAATTTTCTCCCTTCCTTCCCTCCACAGCAAAATTCCTTGGGAACCAGCAGCTGAGCTACGGCCAGACACTCTCTTTCGATTACCGCCTGGACCGAGGGGGCCGCCAACCATCTCCGCACGACGTGATCCTGGAAGGAGGTGGCCTGAGAGTCACTGCCTCCTTCTTGCCCCAGGAGAAGGTCCTGCCCTGTGGCGTCAGCCAGACGTACACGTTCAGGTAAAGCGGGATGCTGGGGTGTTTGGGGCCGGGTGAGCAAGAAAGGCTGAGGCTTCAAGGAGCTCCTGAATCCAGCTGTGATCCTTTGGAGGTGGCAAATGGTTGCCTGGTTTGGGTTGGATGCACCTCAGGGGCTTCTCTCTTGGATGAGGAGGTTATTTCTTGAGAGGGGCAGTAGAAATTCTGGCTTGAGGTTGGGCTGGGTACTTTGCTCGCAGTCAGTCGCATGGGTGGAGGTTGATTCCCAAATCCTTGAGCTCAGGAGGGAGGTGGGCGAGAGCTGCTGCATTTTCTCCTTGAGGCATCTTATTTTCTTGAAACCGGTTCCACTTCTCCCCCCACTTCCCACGGGCAGGTTGGACGAGCACCCCGGCAGCAAGTGGAGCCCGAGGCTGAATCACTTGGAATATCGCCGGCTGCTGGGAAACCTGACAGCAATCTGGATCCGAGCCGAGCCACTTTGGGGGAGTACAGTAAGTGGGGGGAGAGCTTGTGAGCACAAAGTTGGCCTCTCCTCATTGCTGGAGACGCCAAGCCTCCAGATGGAGACAACACTGCTGAAAGGTATTAAAAACCAACAATAATAATAATAAAAAAGGTGCCCTAAGATGGAGAAAATGAAATTATGAAGAGTTTGAGCAGGATGGCAGTGGTGGGGACAGCAAAGCCTTGGCTCTGGTCCATCCGCCTGTGGGAGTTGTGACAAAACACGTGACCTGTGCAGTGATCAGCCCTGTTTCCTTCCAGGCACCGGCTACATCGACAACGTCACCCTGGTGTCGGCGCAGCCCGTCGCCGGCGTTCCCGCTCCCTGGGTGGAGCGCTGCCAGTGCCCGGCGGGCTACCGGGGCCAGTTCTGTGAGAGCTGTGCCCCTGGCTACCGCAGGGACGTCCCCAGCCTGGGACCTTTCGGCATCTGCGTGCCCTGCAATTGCCAGGGGGGAGGAATTTGCGATCCTGACACCGGTAAGAGAAGCCACCACCACCACGTTGTGCTTGTAGGGTGAATGGGGGCGCGGGGTGGCTGCCAGTGTCCCAAGAATTGAGCTGTAGGAGGGTGTGGGGCCACTGAGTGGGGCGAGATCCTTGACTTGGGGGGCTGGAGAGCAGGGAACATCACAGGTAAAATTCCCCAAAGCCTAGAAGTGCTGCAGCCAAAAACACAAGAAAGATGAGTTGGGATCAAGTCGAGCTTAGATGATGCTTGTTGGAGAAAGAAAAAACATCTCCACTGCTTGGATAGCATCAAAAATATTTTTCTTCTGATTTTTGTTTTAAAAGTAAGTGTGGTGGCTGCAGATATCAGCGATGTAAACATGTTTTACTACCGGTCGTGTTCAAACAGCCTGCAGTGCTGCTGTACAGAGTCGAATTAACGCAAAGTTAAGCTGTTGCTATTTTCAAAGTCTGAACTGGAATTGAATTTCCAAGTATCTGAGCATCGATCCGGAGGCACAAAAGGTCCTTCCCACGTGGTGACGGACTGACGGGCAGAGAAACAAAGCGTGTGTGGGCAGGCGTGGGCATCGCAAGGGCTCCGATGGAGGATGCTGGACCACTAGTGCTTCTGCTGCGCCCACTGGCGAGGGGTGGCTGGGAGTTGGGGTGGTGGAGGATGTCCCACTGGGGGTGAGAGCAGACTGCCCAAAGACCTTTCCTTCTTTCTTCAGGCGAGTGCTACTCGGGAGACGAAAACGTGGGCAATAGCATCAGCTGCCCTTTCGGCTTCTACCGAGACCCTCGAGGCTGCAGAACGTGCCCCTGCGGCAACGGCCAAGGCTGCTCCGTGGTGCCGGGCAGTGAGGAGGTCATCTGTGACCGCTGCCCTCCTGGAGCTGCTGGTAATGCCCTCAGCTGGGTCGCCTCTGCTCTGTTTTTACCCTGGAGCTTCAACGGAGAGATGCAGGTGTCAGCGGGCCAGGATGTTCAGAGCCAGGTGGATCATCCTGATCCAAGATGACCTGAGGGCAGGAGCATCTCTGCTGCGAAGACAGGCTGAGAGAGTTGAGGGTGTTCAGCCTGGAGAAGGCTCTGGAGAAGATAGCAGTCTTCCAGTACCTAAAGGGGGCCTACAAGAAAGCTGAAAAGAGACTTTTTTGCAAGGGCATGTAGTGATAGGACAAGAGCAATGGCTTTAAACTGAAAGAGGGAAGATTTAGATTAGATTTGAGGAAGAAATTCTTCACTCTGAGGGTGGTGAAACACTGGAAGAGGTTGCCCAGAGAAGCTGTGGATGCCCCAGCC